GGGGGAAAAACATTGGGACAGGAGGGTGAGCTTCTTCAGAGGCACGGAATCTGGCTTTAGGGAAATGCGTACTATTTCTACATTGTGTTCCCTGACCAATAAGCATATCCTAAAGTCTCAGGAAACATTGCTGTGCCATCTTCTCAATTCTTTTGCCTGACCAGCAGAGGAGAGACCAGAGAGTGTGAAAGTCCAGGATCCCTAGATAGAACTCCAAATTCCTCATCCCTTCCTCCTAGACAGTGATGGGAACAAGCCAGTGGTTACCATTTTCTTTGTTTGCCTGCCTTGTCTTTGCATAATAAAATTTCTATCAATTTCCACAGACCTACTCTAAGTGATTTACACTTGACCTTCAGTATTTACTTTTAAAGGGAGATTATTTAGATATTGCTGTTATATGCTGTCTAGTCACCTGCGACTCATAGTAACCCTGTGTACAATAGCTCTGAACCCTGCTGTATCCTGAGCCAATCTCACCATCTCCGACACAACTACCCCATTACTCCAGTCACTGAGTTTCATTGAAACTGAGTTTCCTGCACTGTCCCTCCAACCTCCCAAGCTTAATGTTCCTCTCCAAGGATTGGTCCCTCCTTGCAAAATGCCTAAAATATGTCAGATGGAGTTTCAGAATCCTTGCCTCCTAGGAGATGCCTGGTTTCACCCTCTCCAGGACAAGCTTGTTTGTTCTTCTAGCAGTCCATAATATATTCAGTACTCTTCTCCAGCACCACAGCTCAAGGCATCAATTCTCCTTCTATCATTCTATCATAGTCATTTTCCAGCTTTGTAATGCATAGCATGTAGTTGTGAAGACCATGGCCTGGATCAGAAGCACCTTAGTCTCTAGACTGACGTGGTTGTTCTTCAGTACCCTGGAGAGATCCCTGACAGCAGACTTCCCCAATGCAATTCATCTTTTGATTTCCTGGCCGTTGGTACCAGGAGTGTTGATTATGGAGCCAAGCAAACAACAGCTGTCCATCATGATGCTGCTAATTGGCCCAGTGGTGAAAATTGTTTTCTTTTTTTAAATTTTTTTAATTTCAATAAACATTTACAGATTTTGGAATTCCATTCATTCATTGTTGCACTTTTCTCCCCGCCCACCCACCCCCACGCCCGAGAATTGTTTTCTTGATGTTAAGATTCAATCCATATTGAAGGCTGTAGTCCTTGACCCTCTGCAGGAAGCACTTCAGGTCCTCCTCAGTTTCAGCAAGCAGAGTTGTGTCATCTCTATAATGCAGATTGCTGATAGATCTTCCACCAATCTTGACCCCAGATTTCTCCTCACAGAGCCCAGACTCCAGAGTGATCTGTTCCACATATAGGTTGAAAAGGTATGGAAATATGATGCCCTGGCATACAATCTTTCTGAATTTAAACCATGCAGTGTTTCCTTGCTTTGTTCTGACGACTACCTCTTTTTTTTTTTTACAAGATCAAACCCCACATTTATTGTTCTGCAAGCTCCCCACCACACCCCGACGAGACCTCACCAAGGTCAACTGCCATCAGAGCCGCTTTCAGCGCGTATTTTCTTTTCCACTGTCATAATGAGGACAGGCTCACAGGCGACTCCTCAAACAGAAGCAATGATACCGTCATTTCAGAAGCTGCTGATGTAGAGAACATATCCACGTAAGTGGAGGCTTCGTCTTTAATTCAAGACAAACCGTGAACAATTGATGGATTTCTGAGAAAGTCAAGTAGAGTGTACTAGGAGGAATCCTGTTCCATTCCTGCATGATGGGGTGAGGAGTGAGGAAGGAGAAGGAAAGGGGACAGGATACTAACAGGCAAGTCTAGGAGTGCTCAGGCTCCACTTCCTTTCTGCTGGTGGTGGTTGGTGTTTTTTCTGGCAACTGCAGCAGCTTGATGGGGGGAGAAAGGGACCATCAGTCAATCACCTCTTTTTGAAGCCATATTTCTTGCGTTCATAGAAGAGATCAGTCTTGGAACTCCCCAAATTGACACTCTTTGGGCAACCATCTCGATCTTTCTCCTGGATGGTGCATTCCTTACAATAATAGGCATCAGAGACTCCAGGGCCTCCACAAATCACACAGCGCCCCTGGTAAAAGCCTTAATTACATTCATCACATATGCGCACCAGGGTGCAGGAACGCACATAGGAGTCACAGATCACACATTTGCCATCAAATTTTTCACATAATCTCCCAATGGCCACACCAGCTTGCTTGCGGCAAAAATCAAATCTGGATGGTGTTTAGCCATAGCTTTGACTCCGACGACTACCTCTTGGTCCAAATATAGGTTTCACATAAGCGCACAATCAAGTGTTCTGGGATTCCCATTCTTCTAACATTAGCTATAATATCCCTACGACCACAATCTCTTCTAAACCCAGCCTGCACTTCAGGCAGTTCTCTTTTGATGTGTTGTTCCAATTGTTTTTGGACAATTTTCAGAAAAATCTTGCTTGCATGTGATGTTAGTTCTATTGTTCTATAATGTCAACACTTTGCTGGGTGACCTTTCTTTGGAATGGGAACAAATATAGATCCCTTCCAGTCAGTTGGCCAGGTGGTTGTCTTCCAGATTTCTTGGCATAATTTGATGAGTGCACCCAGGGCAACATCTGTTTGTTGAAATATGCCAACTGAAATGCTGTCAATTCCTGGGCTCTTGTTTCTTGCCAATTCCTTCAGAGCAGCTTGAACTTCTTCCTTCATCACCACAGGCTCTTGGACGTTGTTTCATTAAATGTCCACTAATTCCGTTTGGTACGGTGATTCTGTATACTCCTTCCAACTTCTTTTAATGCTTCCTGAATCATTCACTATTCTGCCCATAGCATCCATAAGCATTGCAACTTGAGGTTTTAATTTGTTCTTCAATTTCTTCAGCTTAAGAAATGCTGAGCAAGTTTGGCCCCTTTGATTTTCTGACTCCAGTTCTTTGCACATTCCATTATAATACTTTGTTTTTGTCTTCCCGTGCTGTCCTTTGAAATCTTCTGTTTAGCTCCTTAATTTCTTGATTTCTCCCCTCGGCTTTGGCTTCTTGACATTCTAGTTTTGGTCTTTGGTCATCCATTTTTGTCTTTTCTTCCTCCTCTGACTTTGTAATGATATTTTCCTTCTTCATGGATGATATTCTTGATATCCCCCCATAGCTCATCTGGTCTTTGCTCATTGGTGTTCAAGACCTCAAACCTGTTCCTGAAATAGTTTTGAAATTCAAGTGGGATAGACTCAAGGCCAAATTTTGGTTCCTGTGAATTTGGTTTACTTTTTTTTCAACTTCAGCTTGAACTTGCATATGAGTAGTTGGTGGTATGTTTCACAATCAGCACCTGACCTAGTTTTCACACCTGATGTTGAACTTTTCCAGTAATTCTTCCCAAAGATGTAGTTGATCTGATTCCTATGCATACCATCAGGTGATATCCATGTGTACAGTCTGCGTTTATGTTTCTTATAATAAGTATTTGTAATAAATCGGTCATTGATTGTATAGAATTGCATTAATCTGTCTCTAGCATCATTTCTGTCACCAAGTTCATATTTTCCAGCTATCGATCCTTCTTCCCTGATTGCATCTATAAAAACAGGGAAAGGAAGTGGTCATCAAGTTCTAGAAATAAGGTAAGATTTTACACAGAAACAGCTGGAAGAGACTGTGCTAAGAAAAATAAGTCAATCACAACAGGGTTCTCTCCTACAGTGTCACACTCACATTGCTGTGGTGGTCGAAGGACTCACAGCTGACCTTCCAGTGGGTTTTCAGAGTCTATAAATCACATGAGAGGAGACTGTAAGTCTTTCCCCCGTGGAGCAGCTGGTGGACTTGAACTGTCTGCTTCTGTGTTGACAGCACAATTCCTTACCACTTTGCTTAGTAGAGCTTCCATGGGACATAAACTTCTAGTGGACGTAAGATCACAACTATAAAAAAGCCAGGGAAAGGTTTCTGCATAGATAGAATAATTCTTGAATGATTACCATGAATGAGAATGGAGGGAAAGAGAGTAGAGATTAATTAATAGATAAGTTTGGTGAAGGAAAAAGCAATATACAGTAAGAGGATGACATTGTAATTAATTGTTGTTGTTGTTGTTAAGTGCCATCGAGTCGTAGATGACTCATAGCGACCCTATGAACAAAAGACCTGAACATTTTTATAACTTTCATTGTTTCTCTAAGTTCATAGAGTTTCTGGAGGCAAGATATTTCAGAAGTGGTTGCCTGCTTCCAAGCTTGTTTTCATCTGGGAGCTTCACCAAACACTGTCCATCAAGGGTAACCATTATTATATTTGACACATCAGTGTCACAGCATTTAGCATCACAGCAACCATGAGTTACCTCTGTACAGCATATGGCCAGACCAGTGCTATGCCACTTAGAAGAATGTTTGACCAAAAACAATTAAAACCAGTCCTCAGGGATGTAGATTAAAATCACCCACATTTGGCTTGGTAGCATCATTTTCTGTCCACTAGGCCAACAGAGCTCTCTCTATGTTATTGTTGTTAAGTGCCATCAAGTTATTGTAATTAATTATATGAATCAATTATAATTAACAGTATAAAACATGTGAGTGGTAGAATGAAACACAGTATGATTTGTAAACTTTCATTCAAATTGAAAAAGAATTTAAAAAAGGTCTACGCAAGGGAAAAAGAAGACATGGTGACATTTTGTGGTTAAAGGAATTCTTTGATGTGTGTGTGCATGCAAATACTAACAAACAGGAGTCAGTAAAAGCAACAGGGCTTCAGATCTTTGCCCTTGACAGATACTCAGCAACATTTGCTGAAATACAGGAAAGCTCTGCTGTGACCTGCCTGTCAACTATCATTGACCATTGCTCTCAGGAGTTAATGTTTGAACCTGGCCATAAAGGAGTCATAGCCGCTGACCTGTAACCTATATTGGAAGGGGAAGAAGCCTCCTATAAAACTAGCCTCATGAACCGCCTAATCAGCAGAGCTTGCAGGCCAAGGTGAAGAAGGAGCTAGCTGCCACCATGAACTTCACGGGCAAGTACCAACTGCAGAGCCAGGAGAACTTTGAGGCCTTCATGAAGGCAGCCGGTGAGTCTTGGGTGGAATGCCATGGTGGTGGGTCCCCACCACAAGGTTCTGATCCCACAGGGATGAGAGGAGAGATTCAGGCCAGGCTCAGACCAGAGGATACTTGCTTAATGTGTGTGATCAGTAGCAGCTTATGTTAGTACTCACCTGAGGAAGTCGTCCTGTTAGCAAGTACAAAGAGCTCTGGACTCAAGGTTTGGTGAATGTCCAAGTCCTGTTTCTGCTAGTTCTGCTCCAGGTGGCTTCTTTGTTCATTTATTCTCCTAAGAACATCAACTGAAGGACCTTTGTAGACTAACATAGGCAGACTACTAGACATGTACCAGGGAGACAGACAATAAACCACTTCCCCAAAGGGATCGTAGTTTAGAAAAAGAGAAAATAAGTGCACTTAAGAGTGTCAGAGAGAGGAGGACCCTCAACAGGATGGATCAACACAATGACTGTAACAATGGGCTTGAGCATATCAGAGATGATAAGGATGGTGCACGCTAGTGCACAGTTCAAATCTATTGTTCACAGAATTGCTATGAGTTGTAGTAGACTTGACACCAACAGCCCTATGCCACATTCTGATCCTATGCCATGCACCATGTTAAGAACCTGATATGCAGTGTTTTATATTTAATGTTCATCAATACTTAATTAAGTACTACTATTTTCCCATTTTGTGATTAAGGCAACTGAGATATAGAAACTCTACACAGTTCTGACCAAGATCACTCAGAAAGGAGACTTTTGAGGAGGGATTTAAGCAGGCACTGAATCAAAATCCTGCTCTAATCTTATTATTGTTTGCCACAACCATGTCTGAAGTTGTGACACAGAAGATAAGACTAATACTTTGATGGCTGGGGCATTGTGGTGGTAAAGGAGAGCCTTGGGTTGAGCCTGGGAAGAAGAGTAAGAGTAAGTATGTAGCCTGAGTAGGAGGTACCTTTAAGGAATAGAGTCTTGTAAGCAAATAATACAGTGTGATCAGGGTAATACCCAAGGAAGAAGGCTGGGAACACAGCAAGGATAGAGAAAGAGAAAGCCCATCAAGTCACTGACGTGGGGTCCTCAATGTCAGGAAATCTACCACCACACTGTGTTCTGAATTACTTATGGGTGGGCCAGGCTGGTCACTCCCATTGGCATACAGCAACAGGCTGGGCTCTCTGTATAGTTGTATCTTAGGTCAAGGATAGCCTTGCCTCAAAAGCCTTCACTGAGGCTGTATCTGCCTGGGAGTAGGTCCAATTTGCACAACACAGTTCCTGCTTGTGCATGTGGTTCTATCATAATTATTAATAGTTCCTTCTTTCACTTTCAGGAGTGAGTCAATTTGTAAAGTAAGTTCTATGGTCACTTGAGGTCTGAAGGATGAACTATGTATACTTCAAAAGCACAGGTCCTGCATTAAAGAGAGGAGCGAAGAAGGAAAGTAAAAGAGAGTCAGATTTCTCAGAGGAGGAAGGAATTTTCAGGTCTGAGGAGGATCCTCTTTCTAGATTAACCAGAAACATAATAGGAAGGTCAGGCTAGGCCACTGACCTTTTCCCTTAGGGGCCAAAGCTCATGTGTCCCACAATATTCCAGGAAGTACCTTGTGACCTCTGAGGTGTCCCTCCTCTCCTCTCTTCATGACTTACTGCTTCTGTTGGCCACCGCCTCCTTACAACTCCCACCACCACCATCCCTGAACTTTCAATGGATTCCACCAGGTCTGCCTGATGACATTATCCAGAAGGGGAAGGATATCAAAAGTGTGTCAGAAATTGTGCAGAATGGAAAGCACTTCAAGCTCACCATCACCACTGGGACCAAAGTGATGCAGAATGAGTTCACCATTGGGGAGGAGTGTGAGCTGGAGACCATGACTGGGGAGAAGGTCAAGGTAGGACATGCTTCTCTCCTGTCCAGAATTTTCCCTAGAACCTGGTCCCCAAGGCTTTCTTCCTCAAGGCTCATACCTCACAAATCCCACTACACACACTCTGTCTCTGAACCCACTTTGGGAGTGACAGACCAAGAGATAAAGTCAACTAGCCATGTTACTTTCCCTGAAGACTATCCATCTGGTCCTCAAATTCAAGCACTCCCAGATGGACACAAGGGGAATCAGGCACAGAGAGGGGTTATTAATCCCCAGTTCTCCCACCCCCCAACTCTCTCTGCTAGTAAATTCTTCAAATCAGGGCCAAATGTGAGGCAAGCATGGGTCAAATCCAAGCCAAACACCATCTTTCAGCATATGGGGCTTTGCTGGAACTAGAGCTCTTGATAATGATGAGAAATTTCCTGCAGGGGGCGCAGGCAGGACTGGTACACCAGAGTTCCAGGCAGGAACTGTCTTATCTGTAAAATGAGAAAAATCCCCTTGCCAGATTCAAGTTGGGGAAGGGGAAGGGGCAAGAGACCATTTGCTTCATCTGCACTGGCTTCAGACGAACAATGAGAGCTGAGTGTGGGCCCAGGGAAAGAGAGGTGAGCGGGCAATGACAGTGAGGCCCAGGAGCTTGGACTCTTAGTCACTGGGATCCTCTCTCCTCCTCTCAGAGGCATGCCACAACACAGACTATACAGGACAGCCAATCTCATTAGCAAAGCCTTGACTTCCTTCCTAGGCCCTCTTCTTCATTTGTCAACTTTTCTGTTCCCTGCAGACAGTAGTCAATATGGAAGGTGATAACAAGCTGGTGGCAAACATCAAAGGCATGAAGTCAGTGACTGAACTCAACGGTGACACAATCATTAGTGTAAGTAAGGACTCTGAGTGTATGGTTTCCAGTACTTGAGAAGAAAGAGCAGGTGAAGGACCAAGAGCACCAAATGCAAGCACTGCCAGGTGGATACAAGGGTGGATCAGGCACAGGGAAAGGTTCCAAGTCTCTGGTTCTCACACCCCTAGCTCTGTCTGCTAGTAAAGTCTTCCAGTCAAGTCAACTATAACTCATAACGACCCTACGAGCCACAGATCTGAACCTTGCCCTATCCTGCACCGTCATCAGGATCTTTGTCATGATCAAGCCCATTGTTTTAACACTTTGAGAGTCTCCTTCTCTTACACTGACCATCTGCCTTTCCCAGCATGATGTCTGTATCCAAGGACTAGGTCCTCTTGAAAAAGTATCCAAAGCACGTTAAGACAAAGTTTCACTATCCTTGTCTCTAAGGAATGCTCTGGTTGTACTTGTTTCAAGACAGATTTCTTTATTCTTTTGGCAATCTGTGGGATATTCGGTACTCTTCCAACACCACAAGTTAAAGGCGTTGATTTTTCTTCTGTTATCATTATTTATTGCCCAGGTTTCAGATACATAGGAAACAATTGAAAATGCCATGACTTGTACCAGGGGGGCAGGAATTGAGCCCTCCTCTGAACTGTGATTCATGGGCATTGTTTTCCATTAACAGAGCAACCACACACAAAGGGCTCTGTTTGTCTAGAGATGGGCCCTGCCACTATTCTATGACATGGCCAAAGTCGTTACCTACAACCCTCTCCATTCTGCTTCAATATTAACCAACACACCATGGAAACTCCATTTGCTCTTCAAGCTGTAGGCATTTGATTAATGCCAGTGCTTACTTGGCATATTTAAAAAGGATCATATTCATGGCAATTTTACAAGCAATTGATGAGTCTCTGGATAGCACAAACAGTTAATTATTACTAATCAAAAGGTTAGTAATCCAGACCCATCTAGAGACCTCCCAAAAGAGGGCCTGACTGCTACTTCTGAAGGGTCACAGATGCTGTTTACTCTGCAATGAATGGCATTACTGAGTTAGAATCAGCTCGACATCAGTTCACTTCTTGTTTTACTTTTAAGAGTCTGGCACACTCTAGTTATTCAGTTGTCCTTGGATCAGCTGCCCACCACCTCTGTACTGATTTGAGATGAATTATACAGTGGTTTTTATAGTTATGTCCTCCTTGCTCTCTTTGCTACCAGATGTGCTTTGGAGATTAACAGACAATAAAACACAGCCCTCACAATAAAGTGAGGGCATGCTGTTCAAGCAGAAGAGAGAAAAATAATTACAGAAAGTGAAAGTCAATTGTGTAACAAGACAAGTGGACTCATGCACCAAGCCTATTCTAAGCAGGGCAGTGGACTCCTTTAACTATGACAACATGGCACATCATTACAGCAGCCCCGTTCAGAGATGACAGCCCTCAGTAATCCCAAAGTTGTTGTATCTAATACATCTGTACACATCACACTTTGGGAGAAAAATGACTTAGTGCAGTTCCAAAACTATGTTACAAGCTGAATATTTCCATGTATCTGGATCCTTGAATGGAGCTCTGGTGGCCTAGTGGTAAGCACTTGCACTGCCAACCCAAAGGCAAGTAGTTTTAATTTACTAGATGCTCCATAGAAGAAAAGTGAAAAGTCTCCTCTTGTGTAATTTACTCTCTCTGAAAACCCACTGGAGAGTAAGCTATGAGTGCATTCCCACCCTATAGCAATGAGTAAGTTTATATGCTTCCTGCTCAAAGCATGTTTGGTACATAAACTCATTGCTATCCAGTAGATTCTGCCTCATAACAACTCTACAGAACAGAGTAAAAGCGCTTATAGAGCTTCCAAGGCCATAAATCTCTTCAGATGCAGTTGAACCACTGTGTCACAAGGATTCTAGTTTGGAACCTACTAGATCCTAAATCTTAATACAGTAACTGCTAAAATGGGCCCTAGTGTGTCAGGAGGTGTGAGGATGGCATAGGATAGGACAGGGTTCAGATCTGTTGTTCACAGGGTTGTTATGGATTGTACTTGATTGATGGCAAGTATATATCAAGATGACAAGTTAATATCAATGAAACTGAAAAATTTGACTAGGCTAAATTGGATCGAATTGGAAAGCCTGGCTATAAGTCATTAATGTAAAATAATAACTCTGTAAGAGACCTTCCCGTGTAAGGAACTGTAGTGACAGTGACAGGACCCTAGGATTTTAGGAAAAAAATGAAACTCATCCTCCAGTCCTGCAGAAAATAAAAACCTTTGCATTGTTTCATTATATTAGTATGCCTGAGATGATTTTATAGAATTAACTTTAGCAACTGAAAGTCAAACACTTCATTATCTCTTTTCTTTATTTCAGATCATTACACTGGGTGACATTGTCTTCAAGAGAGTGAGCAAGAGAATTTAGACAAGTCTGCATCTCATATTCTTTTACTGTGTAAAAATAATATCATAAAATAAACTTTGTTTTAGAAACATATTTTTTCCTTTTGACGACTTTTTGTTGATATCAATGAATCACTGGTATCAATAAACACAACTCTATATTTGTAAACTTTGAAAAGTGACTTGTTCGGCCTGCCTGCTGCATGAGCAAGAAGCTGGGATTAAATGGGAGAAGAGGAGTGGGGCTGGTCTTGAAGGAGCTCCTGAGAGGCCAGGTAAAGGAAACAGCATCAAGAAACCCTCTCACCACTCAGAAGACATGTACACTGGTCCATAAGAGTCTCATTCCTATCCATATTTGGGTAGAGGACACTTTGGCGGACATCCCTCTCACATTCCACCACAAATGGAGGCAGAAGCAGAACATAGAAGGGAGAAGGATTTTTCTGAACACTTCATTTTGCCAGCTCTATGAGATGATCACACCCTACATCTAAAGAGCTACCAAGGTCTGGCATTTTCCAGCTTGTCTTTCAGCACCCAAAGTGTACTATGGCCACAGAAAGTTCTCAACAAAGAGGTCTTCATAAATGAATGACGAATTACCTATTTCTGTTGGTTTTGTGTACTGTAGAGTCAGAACCGACCCATAACTGACCCTCTGGTGGGGTTTCAGAGGCAGTTAATTGCATGGGAGGAGATTGCCCATTCTTCTATGGAGTAGCTGGTAGCTTGAACCACATGCCTTCAGGATCGTAGCATAGCTTCTTCTAGAAGCCACTGTTGAATATCCCTGCCTCTCTGCCTCTTATCGACAAACCTCCTCTATCCTGTTAGCAGTAATACTCCTTAACTAAAACATTTATTGTTAAAGACATTATAGAAGAATCTTAATTGTAAGGGAAGAAAATAAAAAAAACAGTCTTTTATATTTTTAAATGAAACTCAGACTTTATGGATTCACCATGAGACTGGTCATGAGACCTCAGAACAATTGCCTTAAGGTAATCTTTAAACTTTAAACCCTAAACCTTAATGTTTTCTTTGAACAACAACCAAACATGTTAGTGTCTTTTAATTAAAGACGCAAAACCTGCACGAGATTCGTTCCGGCCCGAGGGCCGCCTATCTACACACCGGATCTACAGGATGCTTCACCTTTGCTCAGGAAACATTACGACTAAATTTCAGAGACATTGATCCAAACATAGGAACTACCATCAGCTGATGTGTTTGGAATCACAGAAGCCATGGAAGCTTCATATACAAGTTATTAGATGGAGGGCTGGTCAAAGGGAGATAGA